ATGGGCATATGTGGGTAACAAAGACCTCTGCGATAAGCCACTGGCAGATTGCCCTGTTTATCGAACTCCACCAGACGCCAGAGTAAAACATGAAGATGATGAGAAGCTGGACAAATTATTGGAGTGCACTAGTATTGTGGTTGGCTTCTGGCTGTTTATTGGCACTCTCATCATGAAGCAGGCCATCAGATTCGCTTTCTTCCGATGGATCGACAAAACCAGCGACTGGATCTATGTTCAGTTTGCAGTAAATCTTGCGAAGCTCAAATCCAAATGGCAAACGATGACATGAACTGTGGGTAAGCACTAAAGTGTGTCATGTCCTTCGTAGTTAGTCGCATCGAAATCTTGTGTTAGAAAGTGATGATGTTATCATATTATGCTGCCATCATAGATGGTCTATAATCGTTATATGTATTAGTTCTAGTATCATAACATCTCCATCTATCATCATTTTGCTATCGCCTGGCCTTCTCTTGTCGATTGATACATATCTGACAACTAAAAGATTAATTGCAACAGTGTATGTCATACTCTGTTGGTCCATTTTTTTTTTTACCAAAATCAATTATATTTCTTGAGATTATATACAAATTTCATTGTTTCATAGAGATTGTTTTCTCCTGTTATTGTTCTTGCAATAAAAAAAAAATCAACCATGTTATTATGCTCTAATGATACAATTACACAATAAAATTGTAACCATTGTTGTGGACATGCTCTTGGTATTTGGCCAAAATTGATGTTTTACTCAAGTACCAAATCTTTCTTTTCTGAGATGAGATCATATATTTTGATCATCATCAAAATTCATATTACTATGAGACTCACTCTTAAAAAAATCATTATTAACCATTTATATAACCATTTTTTTTTTTACAAAAGTATATTTTTTTGAAAAAAATAAAAGCCATGTTCAACCAAACAAATTTATCCATCAAAATTTTCTAGAAGTAAATTATTATTAATAAATACATTTTCAAATTCATGTCTATCAAATTTATCCATATGAACAAATGCTTATTCCTATCATTCGGGTACTAAAGCTCAAGATATTTGATTATATAATTATCTTAAGAAAGATATTCTGTGTTTCTTGAATGACTTTTTTTTTTTTTTGACAGATCAACATTTTATGTCACTTGTGATTGTTTCAGTATTCTTAACCATAGGATTTTTTTTTTTTTTTGTTTCTTTTTCCTGGAAGTCACATTTTGCAGGACATGCAGGGCTTTGTTTTAGGTGTTAGTGGAATGCTATGCATAAGTTATCAAATTTGCCGTTGTTTTGGTGTTCCTATAATAAAAGCAGATGATGCAGGAGTCAAACAAAAAGAAGATGATGATGGTGATAAGTTTGAAACAATAATATTAGATGTTCCTAGTATCCTCATGGGATTCATAGTTGGCTTGTGGGGTTTCTATTGGTATAGTGATCGTGAAACAAGGCATAAGGATTGCTCTCTTCCAACAAATCGACAACATCTATGGCTGGATGGATGTATGTGTGGTTGAAAGCTGAAAGTCCAAAATAATGACAAAGAATAAACTGAACTGTCGCTAAGTGCTAAGACTGTCTATGTATATATATTCCATGTATTTGTGTGTTGTAGTGTTTTGAGTCACCTATGATCATTTGGTGTTGCGTTGTCTTGAAGACACTGCTGCTTGTTTGTTGAACTTGGGAAACGAATGTAAATTCATTCAAGTATCAAACTGCCCATACAAGAAGGGCAAAGGCATTACATGCCTATTAAAAATGCTTCATAATTAGTTATCCGTCTCTAAGCCATTATAGACTCCTCATATGTGTTGAAAGATAATGATATTGATTTTATTGGCTAATCGTTCTATATCACTATGAAGATTTCGTAAGTCTCAAGACATCCTTACGTTATTCTTTACAAAATTGATCCATTCAAGTGGGCATGTATAAAACTAATTATGTTTCCCATCATCGAAGGTTAGCCCTTTCTAAGGCCTTCAAAATAGTTTCTTCCGTCGGTTTATTTGGGTTCTTGCACTTTGCAACTTTACATCTAACTATATATAACAATATTTCATCATGGTGGGTGTTTCTTTTTCTTCGTCTATTATAAATTTGGTGTAAGTCGAGCCTTTGTTTGAGTCACCATTGAATTTCCATAACAATGTAATAAAATATTAATTACAAGAACAGACTGTTACTAGTCTTACTATTTCTTTAGATCATTTATATAAAAAGAATGTTATATTCACAGAATGGTTTTCACACTATGACATGTTGACGTCTAAATATGGTCAATTAGTGTCCTACCAAATCATCTCGAATTGAGGACATCAAAAATTGAATGCAGTAACCTAAGACTTAATTGGATAGCAAATATCTATGAATTACTTATCGTGATTACCAAGTTCTAATATGACTCCAATTACAAAACTATTCAATACAAAATAACTATCTACTAAATGGAGATAGTTACATATTTTTACTACTAAAGACTCTAGGTAGGTATGATCCTTGAAAACTCATTGGCTAATAAGCTCTTATTATAGGTTATTGCACCTCAAGTTACATACATCATAACTTAAGAGTTGGAGGGCTCTTGTCGGATGTATCCTTGACTTAGTTTTCTAACTCGTTCACTATAAATTTTAAGAGTATTGCTCCTCAAGTTACATGTTATCTAACATATGTATTTATCGGGCATTATCGAGCATACTTCTGAATTAATTTTTATGAAGATCATTTGATTAAGTCATTTCATCATGATACTAAATTTGTGACAAAGGTTATCTCGAAGAAAGTTAATTCTATAACGTTGATAAATATAACAGATAATCTAAATCGATGTTGACACTTAGGAAGTAGCATGTGAAAGTTTCAACTACTCTTCTCGTGATAAGAAAATGTATGTCCACACTACATTATTAATGAATAAACTAGAACTCTTATTATAATAATTGAGCAAATGTGACTTCGATTGATTGATCAACAAAATCTCCCACATTAATGAATCATTCAACTCTTGCATCTTTATCATGAGTTGATTTTTTTATTTCATGATTAAACTCTTCACATCTAAATCTCCAACATTCCTCAAACACCCAAGTCTCACATATTAATCAATCAACTCTCACATCTTATATTTTGATCGTGGTATGCATCAAAGTCTCCAAGAGATAGATATGTGTCTCAATCATATTGACTTGTGCCCGAGCAACACGATAAGATGCAAGCTTTTGACTTGCATCTCAACCACATGATAGAAGCTTCGATAAGTATAGATGACTTCCCTCCAACCTCACACAACATGGAAGATAGATGGAAATTTATGTGTTGAAAGGCAACCATTCATCACGTCATGAGAAATATCCATATTTTCCAACACCGAAAGTCTCCTTGACTTGGACGTCGGGGAACATAGACATTTACATCCTTTCTGAGAGCATTCTTTCTCCGAATTTACTAAAGAGCTCTTTATTTTAAGGATTTTTACATAGTTTTATAGTGTTAATCTATCCGAGTTTAATTTAAAAAAAAATCTCTAAAATCATATAAAAATAGAAAACCCAATGAAATTACTATTTAATGTTGTATTTATCTTCTAGATTAAAATTGAGTTGAATAAGCTTTATGTCATTATACTCATACATGTACCATGTTATATTCGATGACAGAATCAACTTCTAAAGGTGTTCTTTATATATATATATATATATATATATATATATATTAGGAATAGTTCAACAAGTTGTGCATGTGCAGTATCCAACACGCAGAAGAGTCACTTCCTAGTTATCCACATCACGACCGTAGATGTCCATTCCCAAGCTTTTGATTGGATGAAACTTTCTCGGTTTCCATTCGCCTTCGTGACAGCTAGATTGTGAAATGGACGACATCATGAGTCAACATTCATGATTTCACTATAACGAAAAGACGCACTGAAACAATGAAATAACAATGGGCACAAAATAAATGCTTAAGAATAGATTGCGACTTGTCTTTTAGGCGTCTTTAAGAAGATATCTGTTTCCATATTTGATGCTACCATATCAGTCCAACAGCACGCGGTAATTAGCCAAAGAGTACCACCACCATGTTTCCTTCGATCAGCTCCACCCGGTTTCTGCTCCTCTACCTCGTCCTCCTCTTCGTCCCCTCTCCGACGGTTGCCTTCACGTGGCAAGTTTGCAGCACAAGTGCCGGCAACTTTACTGCCAACAGCACGTATGAGTCCAACCTCAACCTCCTCCTCTCCTCCCTCGTCTCCAACGGTTCCGTTCCTGGCTTCTTCACCGACACCGTCGGACGGATACCCAACCAAGTTCAAGGCCTCGTCCTTTGTCGTGGCGATACTAACGCCACCACGTGCGGTTCCTGCCTTAACAACGCCAAGTTGGAGATCCTCCGGCTCTGTGCCTACAACAAGGATGCCGTGGTTTGGGATGAAGAGTGCCTCCTTCGCTTTTCCAACCGGCAGTTCCTCAGCACCTTAGACAACGACCCGACGGCTGCCTTGGCAAACTTGAACCAGGTAAACTACGAAGCGGATCGGTTCAACAAGGTGGTGAACGAGTTGCTCGACAGCACGGCTGATTGGGCGGCGTATAACTCCACGAAGAGGTACGCGACCGGGCAAGCGTTCAACGTGACGCAGGCGGTTCCAAATATATATGGCCTGGCGCAATGCACGCCGGACATGTCGACGAGTGACTGCAGGCAGTGCTTGAAAGGGGTGTTACAGGGGCTCCCACAGGGCAGAATGGGGGCTAGGAATCAGGGAGTGAGGTGCAATATAAGGTTCGAAGTTACCCGCTTCTACGAAGGCACCCCCATCATATGGCTCCTTTCACCATTGACGAATGCAACAACGCCTGCGGAGAACGCCACAGCTCCACCCTCTGCTCCAACAGCCCATCCTGCCGTCGGTCCAACCGGGAAAGAAGGTAAAGATGCACCCTTAGCACAATTAATTAATTAATTAAATACATAGATCCATGGCAAATAGGCGACACTCATTCATTCTATAAGAGACTAGGAAAGT